AATAATTTTTTCGAATTTTTTTTAAGCTTTATTCTGATCGATTTACCCGATTTCCGATTCGAATCGCCGATTCACCGATTCGAATCGATTTTTTGGAAGCCCGATCAGGTTCACCGATCCGTTTTTTAAACCATTGGCCAAACCTATTGAAAAAGAGGGCAGGGTCCGTCTTCCCCACTCAATTAGCCCAAAAAAAAAAAAAAAAATAAAAAGAAAAAAGAAAAAGGGGAGCATTCGGCTGCAAAAGACGTAAATTCACTAACGTTTGTGGGACAAACGGTTCATTTAAAATCGCAATGAATTAGGACGTGCTCCTCAACGATCTCTCGCTCACTAGACAAGAATTCTTTTGGCTTTAAGATGGGGATGTGGAGTATACTTTGTGATGTGTACGGTGGTCAGGCAGCAGCGGCGGCGAAGGCGCGAATTTTGACTACGCACGAATCCACCTCTCCATCTGACTCTCTCTCTCTGACAACCACCGTCGACACGTCTAATCACCCTAAAGTTTGCGGTTGCCCTACACTTTAAGTTTAGAGCGAGAAAGTGACTTGCCCTTACAACATCGTAAATTACATGTATCCTAAAGCTTGTGACTAGTTAGTTCGCAGTTGTAATAAATACGTGGAAAAAGTCTTTTTTTTTTTTTTTTTTCGAGGGATTGTTATCTTTGAAAAATTGCTCCTTGGTAATTATAATTATTCCAGCGAGTCATAAAATTCGATAAATTATTTTTTAGAACTTTGTGTATATTTGATAATACTCTTATAATGACCCATTTTAAAACATTTAAGGGACAAGAAAAGAAATTGGGTTTGTGGTGGAAGCACCCACACTCTAATCACCCCATTGTGGTTTTCAAGGTTCGTGGTGGAAGCGCCACGACTCTAATCATCCCATTGTGGTTTTCAGGGTTTGTGGTGGAAGCACCCACACTCTAATCACCCTAATGTGGTTTTTATTCTCTCGCTCTGATGTAGAAGCCACTATTTTTTAGATCTAAACGCCTTTTCTATTTTCATATGGTTTGACACTTTGAAGGATTTTCTTTTCTTGGCTGCAGTTATATGGACAACTTGAAAAGAAAGGAACCTTCACACATTCGAAAGAAAAAACAGAAATCTTGGTTAGATCATAAGATCTTTCTAAACTGCGAACATTAACTGGGGTGTGGCTCTCGGGCCCTTTCATTTTATCTCGAAAAAGAACTCCTTCACCCATCTTAAAGAACTTCTTCAGTTTAGGAAAAGGAAGCCCTCTTGAAGTGCCCACTGGGTGAGACCGCCTAGTGGTTTGCTCGTACTCAATTTCGTGGTAGCCTTAAGACTCAAGAGGGACTCATGTGGCGTGGTTTTATGGTAATATCAGAGCAGATCCCATATTTATGATATCAATGAGATCGAGTTAAGGGCACTGAAAGAAGGGGTGCTCAAACTGTAATATGATGGTATTAGAATCATCATTAAGGGGGAATGATCTCAAACACATCTTCTGTGGACACAATTTGGAGGCTGCTTGTCTTGCCAAAGAGGGAGCTTTGCTATAACCATTTTTTCTCTTTTAATTTCCTTTTTGTGTTTCCCTGTAACTCTTCATTCACTTAATAAAACTCTTACTCACCGTTTCAAATAAAAAGGAAAAAACAAAGAAGAAGAAAAAGAGTGATTTCCATTCTCACCACTAACACTATCCCACTAATACCCCACTAATACCTTTAAAATGCTAACTCCTAATCTACTTGAAAAAATAGGTAGTGGCTTGTCTTTTCCACTGAATTAAAAAATAAAAAATAAAAAAAAATAAAAAAAAATAATAAATAAATTTAAGGGACGAGAATGATTGTGACCTCTATATATAAAAGATAAATGGTCTCTTTGTACGCAATCCCATTTTTTTAGGTAAAGTTTACAACTTTAAACAATAAGGAGCACCTCTAAACTTTGTTATAAGAAGCAATTTTGGTATTGAAAATTTTTAGGATGGTTCGAGAATCTATTTATCTCTAATCGTAAAATTTTAAACTCTAAAATTAGTCTAAATCAAATAGATCTATAAACACATAAAAATATTGCAAATGTACGATCAAGATAATATAAGATGTATTATTTTTAAGACTTGAAATCTTTTTTCTTGTATCCATATATCTCGATGTCGAGATGATCAATTAGATAGTTTTCTAAAATCAAAATAACATTTTCCGGTAGAGTTTTAAGGTGCACCTTAATTCTACAATTTAAGGTATCAATTATCAACATGATTTTTTTTTTAAATTTTTTTTTTGGTAGTTCAGTAGTAGGAGCTTGGAACTTTAGAAAAGGGGCTCTTTTATTGCTAACCAATTTCCCGTACTAAAAAAAAAAAATTTGGCTAAGCTGACTCCAAAAGCAAAGGATTCAAAATCTCCTGATTTTCCTATGTTCACAGTAGGCGTATGCTAATGCAGCTCAGCAAACCTAATCTAGTTTTATAGCATGCATGGCTCATGTGATTTGTTGTACGATTGAGTTACAATATTACTGGTAGAAGTAAGGCTGCAAAAAGAATGGGCTTAATGGTCAGGGTGACAAGGCACTACAATATGATCTCTTCAGTTAATGTTAAAAAAATCTTTAGTATCAAATATATATGATCTAAATAAAATAGACAATGTAAATTAATGCAGCCTTATTTCATTCAGGTTTAATTGTAAACACATTCAGTCAGTGCACTACTAAATCTACAAAAATCCACGCCACAACCCAAAATAAGTTTCGGTATTAAAGAATGATTAACATTTTCAAATATGTAATGATAGGGTTCAAAGCTTTCGAGGTTACTTATTTTTATTTTACCCTTGATTCAAAAACAAGTGTTTATGCAGTTTAAAAGTTGGACTTCCAAATAATCCAAATGTTTGTGTGTGTGTGTGGGGAGAGTGGGTCAAAAGCTGGACTTTCAAATTGGGGGGAATAGATAAAAAAAAATTAACCTCAGATATTTTAGACCTCACCATAAATATCAGAGCTATGGATCACTCTGTAATACCAAAATTTATTTGGGTCCTAACGTAGATTTCCTTTATCAAGGGTGTGGTTTGTTTGTGTGTGGAGTGGGTCAAAATTTGGGCTTTTAAATTGGGGCAATAGATATAAAAAAAAATTAACCGCACATATTTTAGACCTCACCATAAATGTCACAAATATGGATCAGTATGTAATACCAAAATTTATTTTGGGTCCCATCATAGATTTCCTTTATCAAGGTGGTGGTTTATATGATTAAATATTAAATAATCCAAGTAAAATACACCTTCAAACCTTCCAAGATAATAGAATTTCGGTGTGAAAATTTTTAAAGTAATTTGAAAATCTATTTCATTTCTAATTATAAAATTTAAATCTTCATATAAATTACGTAGATTTATAAACACATGGAAATAGATTATTTAAATAATAATTATATATCTATTTTTTATATTTATATATATGGAAGTCGAGATGATCAATTAGAAGATCGAAACAACTTTGCCAATAGGTCAATCGGGTGAGCGGAAAAATTGGACGTTTGTATAAAGGTGAGATTTGTATAAGGTTTCCTCCTTATACTGTTCTAGTACGGAACACCTAAAGAATTTATTTATGTCATTTTGGAGTCGAAAGCTTTATGATGGCTTTAAAATCTTCTTTTATGGTTAGTTATAAAATTTACAATTTAAAAAATGATATAGATTGAGTAGATCAAAAAATACTTGAAAATTGACGGTCCAGATAACTTGTTACACAGGATGCACTATTTTTTTTGACTTTGAATTTTTTTTTTTTTTTTTTTCATGTCCATTCATCTAAGGTCGAGATGATCAGTTAGAGGGATCTCCAATACCCAAATACCCTCCACTGGGATTTTTGAGGTGCACCTTACCGTATAAGGTTGCTAACCTTATATAAACTTTTTCCTTCAAGGGAGCTAATGTTATTTTCCCATTATTAGTCATCTTTCACTGAGTCAAAACCTGAAATGAAGAAGAAAAATGCCATTTTGCGACCACCATTTTGGAATGGACCAGAATGGTAGCCTAATAAGGAAACAAATGAACAATAACACAACACATTAAGAATACAAACTTAATTATAATTACCCATAATATTCATTAACGACATTGCATGTGTTCATTAATACCTCTATTTTTAATAGCCACCCCTTAATCTCTCTCACCTTTAAGAGTGAAGATCCTCCCAAACAAGCTAATAAAACTACTCTCTCTCACTTCCAAGCTCTCTATTCATTCCTCGTTTCTCTATAAAGCATGAAAACAAGCCACTGTATCTCTCTCTCTCTCTAAAATGGCCTCTGTATTGCTCTTCTAAGGGATCACTACATGTATATCTCTCTCTACAAGTTATCACTACATTCTCTCTCTTCTATCTGTTTCTCTCTCTAAATTGGGCGGTCTTGCACCTCGAAGAAGGAGCGATTCTTGACAACAATGTCGAACATGTGTGTGGACTTGAAGTGAGAGAAGTCCCTGGGAAGGGTGATGAGATCCACCGAGGCTGCCGACCTGTGGAACTGGATGACGTCAGCCCTAGCCCTCTGGCCGAGCGGGTAGTACCTCTCCCAACCGTGCTGCTTCAATCTCTCTTCCAGCTCCGCGTAGCACCCAATCACCTGGTTCGACGGCAGGTGCAACAGCACCCGCTTCTTCGAGCCGCCCAACCGGTGCGACGACGACGACGACGACGACGACGACGGCTCCGGCCAATCCAGTGGCTCTACGTTCGGGTTCGACACCAGCTTCGCCACTCCATTCCTGAATACCCAAACACCCGACATTCTCTCTCTAGGACTGGCTCTGTTCCTCTTTCTCTTTCAATTGCTTCCTTTCAGGCTCTCCCTCTCGCTCTAGTTTTTTGCCACCTCTCTTGTTCTCTCTCTCTCTCTCTCTCTCTCTCTCTCTAAGTCTCGTTCCAATTCTCTCTTGGGTATTCTTTGTAGCTTTTCGCTTCTCTCTCTAGACTCTTTTTCTCTCTAACCCACTCTCCAAAGTCTAGACACTTTCTCTCTCTTTGATTTCTTTCTTTCTCTCTCTAAAATCTCTGATATTTACCACTTTCTCTCACTAGACCTGGGAGTCTATGGGCGTAGGGGGGAAGGCTGAGGCTTTTAGCGGTTTATTTGAAGGACGAGGAGTGCAGGACTTCATATAAACTTCTCCCTTTGCCATCTCGATCGTGGCAAATGACTATTATACCCATCAGCAAGCTGGTTATAACGATTTTACCCGTCGTTTTATACAATTACTCGATAGGCCACGGTGCCCTCCTCTTTTGCTAAAATGGCCAAACAAAATTACCTAACATTACTTCACATCACCCTACATCATGGGATATATATATATATATATATTTTAAAGATCCGTGTTAATTTTAATGGTAATTTTTTGAAATCCTACCCGTTTCTAAAAAATCATTACTCATTATATAAATATGAGATTTAGTATGTGCATCATTTTAATTCACCCAAAAAAAATATTAAGAAGAATTTTTTGATAAAGTATAATAACCAAAATGCTCTTTTAAACTTTTAAGGGTATTTTAATTATTTTATTTTATTGAGAATATTTTTTTATAATTTTTACAAGTGTAATTTTAAGATAGGAGCGGACTTCCAAATTTTGGTGTTAAAATAATTCATAAAAAAAAATTAAAAATAAAATAGTGTAGAGACGTGATATTGTGATTGGGGTCTTCTCAGCCGTCCATTCAGAATGGATGGTTGGATTGGTGGAAGCATATAAGTTTTGTGCAATAAGAGAAGCATTAAAAGCTGATCCAAGCCCAAAAAACATAAAAATTTTCCCTCTAAATATCATGTAGTTATTCTTGAAAAGAATTGAACTTTCCTTTTTCCTTGATTTGGATTGAATGAACAAGTGAAACTTCCTATTATACAATGTAGAAACCCTGAAATGTGAAAATAGCTTAAATCTTCAAAGTAAATCAATTCTGTCTCATTATAAACTGAAAATTACACACATTTACACACAGTTTCACATTAAGAACCATAAATCCCTCAAAGGATTTTTCACTGTAATAAATAAGTCAATATAACTCTAGTAAAAAATAAAATAACATACATTTAGCCTCACATGAATGACTACATATGTAAAAGGTAATTTAGTCTTTTTCATGATCTAACTCGTTTACCGGCCGAATAAATTCCCGACGCCAAAAATATTGATTAAGGGCAAAATGGACAAACCAAAATAATTAATATCAGCTGAATATATTCTCGACCTCATAATTATCGATGAAGGTCACGATGGACGCACCAAAATAATCCTCTGCTCCATGAATATTGTCGGGCTAAATAATTTCAAAAGTATTTTGATCAATTATAATATAAAAGACTGTGGGCGCAATGGTCATCATCGATTTTCTTGGTGCGTATTTTGGGTGGAATATCGTCCACGCGTGCCCAATACAGTACGCATGTGAAGGGGAGAGCGGCATGCATGGAGAAGACGTTACTGTTTCTCTTTCTTTCTTTTTGTTTTGCTTTATCTTGTATACGTTGCTGGTTGCTCTGTGACACATGGGAAAAAAACCCCAAATTTCGGTTTCCTTGAAACTGAACCGGGGGCGCACTAGGGTTTTCTTCTCCACTCGATGTGTAACTTAGGGGTGGCAACGGGTCGGATCCGGACTTAGACCCGAATAGTATTTAGGTCCAGGTTTTGGACATGAATCTGAATACCCGGATCCAAAAGTTAATCCGATATTTGTACTCATCGGGTCTCGGGTCTATCCCGTCAGGTCTCGGATTTGGTTGGGGTCATTGCCACCATTACTATGAGCTTCTTGTTTTTCTTTGCCATTTTTCTACCATCATATACCTATGTTATTGACAACAATGTTACAATCACATGCTATTAGATTTCAAGCCGTATGATTTGTCATTTAATAGCTAAATATGACTACGAGTTTTTATTGTATATACAATCCTTAATACACCCAAACGAAAAGGTCCTGAAGAATTTTGTCTCCAACAATTTATAGGTATGGGTCGGATTCAACCGGACAAGGACCCGGACCCAAATAGTGTTTGGGTCTAGATTTTGGACTTGGACCCAAACCTGATCTTGCGGTTCTTAATGTTGGACCCATACTTAGACCCGTATCAGGTATATCCGAGGAGTCCCGGGTCCATTGCCACCCCTATATGTGTTCTAGCCTTCGTGATATGAGATAAAGAGAGAGATGTGTAGTTTTTTTGGGAAGTTCAGTGGTTGGAATCAGACAAAAGAGAGGTATAGGTTTTCACACTAAGAAAGTCCCTCACAAATTGATCCGAGGCAATTCCAACACTCTAAGGCATGTTTGGTTGGTACGTAAATATTTTTTTTTAAAAAATGTTTACATATGTAAACATTTTACTAGAAAAACTTTTACAAACTTTCTTTTCTCCATGTTTGTTTACCTCTTAAAAAAACACTGTGAAATGAAATTTATATGTTAAGTAATTTGTTTGGCATTTACATATATTTAATAAATATGTTAAATATATATGTATTGTTTAAATATTATAACCAAAAATATTTTTATATTTATTTAAATACTATTTCACTATTATTAAATTATTATATATTTAAATATTATTATAAATATTGAATAATATATGTGAATATATAACAAACAAAATATGTTATATAATAAAATATATTATATAATACGAATATATATTAATAAAAAAAATATAAAAATATAATATATATAAGATAATATAAATCAAATATATAACATATAATATAATATAAATATATAATAATAATAAAAAATAAATAAATAAATAAATAAATAAATAATATATATATATATATATATAATATAATATACACTATAACATAATATAATATATAATATTAGTATTATTAGTGTAATATAATCTAATATAATAACAATAGCTATCTCACTATTCTTTTTTGAGTCTCATTATTCATTAATATGATTTAATAAAAGCATATATAACAAACAACCAATATTTTGAGGATAATTGGACTATATCGCCATTTTTTTAAAAAAATTCAAACAAGATATATCAGTTGAGGCACTGATATGGAACGACCTACGATAATATGACGTGATCTATATAAGGGTACACCATCCCTTATTGTTGTATATGGGAGAAAACAAAGCCCGATCATTTAAAAATGACAGCTATTTTCAATACTTTAGCATCTTTTGGCTGTGTTTTTCTTGAATGGAATAAGTTTATATAATGCCGAGACTCTAAACGATCAAATTGGAGCACACCTCACAAATTTCATTAAAAGAGGTTTTTTTTTATGCTCAAATAACTTCAAATTGATCATCTCAACATCAAGATGCATGGACACGAGAAAAAAAAGGATTTCAAGTTTTAGAAATAATGCATCTTGTAATACATTTTTAGAGAGTCAATTTTCAAGATTTTCAAGTTTTTATAGATCTGCTCGATATACATATTTTTGAAGCTTTAAATTTTATAATTAGATATAAAAATATATTTTAAGTCTACCACAAAGATTTCAAGTATTAAAAACATATTTCTCGATACTATTTGAAGGCGAGCTCTACTTTGATTGTTTAGAGCCTCAGATCCATACAAACCGCACCCATAAATACAAATATGGACTGTATGGAGACCTTTATCAAGGTATAGAAATACAAATATTTTCACTTGCAACTCAAAATACAACATTTTACTCAAATTCCCAGCAGCTTATGAAGTTACATGGAACACATTTTCTCACTAACAAACACTCCGAAATACTACTACATGACTTCAAATTGATTCCAAAACAAGTCCCACTCAAATGGGCACCTTGGAGATTGAAGAAAACACAAGACATCTGTTGACTAAATTTCATCAACATAACTCATGAATAATTTAAAACACTTAGAACACAATATTCACATGAACTCAATCTCCATTTATATAGGCAAAACCAAATGTGTGCAGTTAATCTAGACGTATAGGAAGTCATTGTGATGATCAATTTACCTGTATTACCTCCACAGATTTAATTACACCCCTCATATGTCCACTAATGATGATGCAATATAATGAATCAAATTTAATCCTGTATGGAAAGCATGCATGATAAAGTTGAATCCATACAATTGGTAGCTCTAATCACAATTATCTCAAGAATGGAGGGAACTCTATATATTAATAATAATATTATATAGTACATATAATATAGCATAATATAATATAAATATATATTAATAATATATATTATTTATTATACAGTATATATAATATATAATATACAATAGGGTGCGGTTTGTATAGAGCCTAGGTTCTAAACAATCCAATTAGAGCCTACCTTCAAATAGTGTCGAGAAATGTGGTTTCAAAACTGAAAATCATTGTGATAGCATTAAAATATATTTTTATATTTATCTATAAAGTTTAAAGCTTCAAATATAGTGTAGATCGACAGATCTATGAAAACTTGAAAATATTAAAAATTGATGGTCCAAAAATGTGTTACAAAATATACTATTTCTAAAACTTGAAATCCATTTTTTTCTCATGTCATGCATCTTGATGTTGAGATGATCAATTTGAAGATATTTGAGCATCAAAACAACCTCCTCTAGTGAAATTTTGAGGTAGGCTCAAATTTGATTGTTTAGAGCCTCGGCTCTATATAAACTTTTCTTGTATAGATACTATAATATAATATTATATTTAATAGGATGTAATATATAAACTAGTCTACAATATAATAGTTAAATATTATATACTAACATACTAATATTATATGTTATATTTATAATACTATATTATATTAAATATTATTGAAATATAATTTATATATTAAATATATTATTTAATCTATTTATATATAATACTATATTTAATAGGATGTAATATAT